TGTCTCTGGTGAATCCTCTCACCCTCCGCATCTCTGGCCTGTACCCCAGTTCTGTATGAATAAATAAATAAATCTTTTAAAAATATATTTTATATAATTGATTTGTAACTGAGGAAGTTATATGGAGACACTCTGACCCCACTAGAGACAAATTAAGGTTGGCTAAGGTGTCTTAACCTACAGTTACTATCTCTTGTGTACACATTGAGCAGTGGCTTCTTTGGTTCCAGGAAGTGTTTGCCTCTCTTCTCTGGAGCCCTGAATATAATTTCCATTCCACTGTGCCACTGATACCCCCAGGAAAATGTATGCATCAGGTATTCCAGGTTAGAACTGAAAATATGTCACCTAAGAAAGGTGGCTAGTTATACTTTTTATATGCCCTTGTGTCATACAGACTTTTGTGGCTCTTCTGAGACCCTAACCCTATTTATAAAATTTTCATATAAAAAAGGATGTTTTGGGTCTCGAGCTTTACAAAGTAAATTTTTGATATACAGAAATCCTGGCGATAGAACCATCTTACATTGTACCAGAGAAAATTAAGTAAACTCCCTCTTTAAAAATCTTAAATTGGTCAGTAACCATTAAGATTTATTGCCTGACAACTGGACAGTTACCTGAAAAATTTTTTTGACCACATTTATTGATTGTATCTATTATTTTAAAAAAGCTATTTTAAAAAAGCTATTTTAAAAAAGCTAGGTGCCAAGTAGTAGAATAAACTCAGGAAATAAAATGTCCCTACCCTCAGGGATCTTCCATACTACTGGAAGATTATACACAGAGTAAAGTAAAAGTACTATGAAATGTTTCCCTGTTTCACAATACTATATTTACAACAGATATATTAGTATGAGCCAGGTTTTGTCATAAGTGTTTCATAAATACATTAATATTAATCTTTAGAACAACCCAATGCCAGTATTATTACAGTCTTCATTTTATAAAGGTACACAGTGGACTCAGGGAGATTTAATGGCGTTGGAATAGAATTTAGACATCAGCAATTGAACCCCCAGCCACCTATGTTAACTATTATGCTCTTTTTTTTTTTTTTAATTTTAAAATTGACGTTGTGACACATTTTCTTGTCCTTCATAAGATTTTGTTAGTAGTTATAACAATAATCTTTTATCTGTAGTATTTTTTAACTGCTTCACCTACAGTTTACTTTTCTATATTCTATACTTAAAAAGGAGTAATTGAATAATAGTACCAGTTTTTCTTTCTATAACACTGAGCTAAATAAAATATAAGATGTATCGTGTCAGCCAGCTCTTATTTGTCTCTATCAATTAAGTTCAGTTTTGTGTAACCAATGTCCAAAATAAACTATTACAGTGTTGTTTTAGATCTGCCACCTGTACCTTCTAAAAATCAAGGACTTAATAGTAAAGTTAATTATCTCCTGTTTACAGCTAAATCTCATTTTTTAAAGATATACTAAAATTGCCAATAAATGTTTAAAGAAAAAGAATAAAAATCTAGAAATTGAAGTCTAATTTCTGTAACATCAAAAATCACCTGATTTTGTCTGAGGGCTCAGTAAATATGATTTGCTTTTGTTATATATGTAGTATTTATTATTTTTAAATATTAATTTATCAACCTCTCTTTTTTGTTTTTGTTTTTTTTTTTAGTATACTGTGTGGAATTTTGTTCCAAAAAACTTATTTGAACAATTCAGAAGAGTGGCAAACTTTTATTTTCTTATTATATTTTTGGTTCAGGTAAGCTCTATCACTCCTTAGGTGTTAAGTTTATGGACATGATTTCTAAAAATATGTCTTCAGGAAGTTTTCTAAATCACATTGCATTCTAAATGCAGGGCTATTTTTTTTTTCCTGAAGAGTTTCCCAATTGTGTTCAGTTAATACATTGATTTAAACTCCCTAGAGTTCTGAAATATCACATGTGAATTTTAAGATTAATTATATTTTATTTCATCACTGATGTGCTATCATGCTGATAACCATAATCAAAGCCAAGAAAATAACATCTTTCAGATAGTATTCCTCAGAATATGAATATTTTGACTTTTAATATACAGTATATATTTTGGACATTTCTGTCTATGGAGTCAGCTTTGTACAAAGTAAAATTTTTCCCTGATTTTTTATTCTTAAAATGCAATTTTGTTCTAAAAAATAAGAGTACCCTTTGGTTTAAATTTTTATGTATTAGGCCATTTTCTTAAAAGCTTTATTATTTTAAAGTGCTTGACAAGTTCCTAATTTTCACTCTTTTTTCTCACATCAACATATCAACTAACTATATGTTTTTATATTTGAATATCAGATAATGTATTAAAATAATGATTTTATTTTTTTTTAAAGAGGTTGTTTTCTGGTGGTACCATAATACTCTGTTTATGTGGCATAGAATTTTTCCATAAACTGGACTCAATAGAACATGGGATTACAAAAGAAAAAAAAAACTTCAAACAAACAAACAAAAATATCTCCTTAAAAGTAAAAGTAATCACCTTAAAATTTGAGGAAGTATTTATTTTTTTTTTTAAATGCTTTCTTTTCTGAACAGAGAAGGCATTTCTGATTTTTTCTCACTGGAACATTCACTTGGCTTTCTCTGAAAAGTGAAAAATTTATTCTAACCATATTCACATAATGTATGCATTTGTGAAATTACTAGCTAAGATTAGGAATCCTACTTGTCTGTGGAATGGAACAAATTTAATTGTTTTAGGAATAAAAGATGAGTAAATCAATGGATACATACTACCTAATATATAAATATAATTGCTGCAGAAATTTCTTTTCTAGCAATTTATTGAAACCCCAATTGTATGACTTAGATCATAATCACAACATTATTTTCTCAGATATACCCTCTGGCTCTTTTGTATATAACAAAATTATTTATAGAAAAGATCCTTTCTCTACTTCCATTCCTTGTTCTTTTTCCCTTGCATTTGTGAATTTTTTCTGAATCTCCATAGAAAGGCCTGACAAACCTTTCAGTACTTCTCAGGATGAACAAAAAAATGTGAAATGAAATTCTAAGAAGTTGTAGCTTCAGTCCTAAGGAAATAATTGGGGAAAATCTCAAGTATTCTGTGTATTAAGAAGGCAGAATAATTGAGTCCACTCTAGCATTATTTGTGGGTATGCTATAGATTTGTGATTCTACCAATCGTGTATAATATCCAACAAAATGAAGTTATGAAACCATGAGTAATTCTTTACTCACTACATCTTTCTCTTATGATATACATTTTATAGTGTTCTTAAAAGTCCAGTGTGAAATTTTAGATATTTTAATGTGACAGTTACAATATAAAAGTATAATACTCAGCATTCTCTCTCTCTCTCTTTTTTTAAATCTAGCTAATGATAGATACACCTACCAGTCCAATTACCAGTGGACTGCCATTATTCTTTGTGATAACAGTAACTGCCATAAAGCAGGTATGAAATGCTTTCTTTTGTTGTTTTCCCTCCTCAGAGGCATTCAATAGTTAAATATTTCTACTTCAAAGTAACATTTATTTTTGTGAAAATAATTCTCTTAAGAAAGCAGTAAATTTGTTTAATGATATTGCATATATAATTAAACTGAATTAAAGCACTATTGTATTTCAGGTACATGCTAACTTATGGAATAGTTATCACTAGAAAGATATGTTCTTCCATTAACAATCCAAGAAGTATCCAAAATAAAGCATTGTATATTTACAGACAATTTTATATATGATATAGGTTAATTATTGTAACCATCTTTATAGAGCTTGACAATATTTAAAGGTAATACAATTTAAAGGATACATTAGTAGGAAGAGGAACACACAATTCTAACATGAAGACTTGTGAATGAAAATTATATGGTGCTTTCCTACATTTTATAACTTTCTCTGTGGGAAGTTGAGTTTTATGTAAAGTAGTACTCTGGCAGAAATAACTTCAACCAGATCTTGAACTGATATTAAAATATTGGCATAGAAAAACAGGATTACTGGATAAACATGCCAAGTAAGAAAGAAATGTCTTAATTGTACAGTGGTAATCTTCCACCATAAAAAGAGTTATTTCAGTTTTCTTGCATCACAGTAATAAATTTCCATCTTACAAGATTTAGAGGATGTTTAAATTGACATCAAAACAAAATTTGTAAATAATTTATAATGCTGGAATGAGTTTTACTTGTTATTTATATAAGAAGGGTAAATGGAGTCTAAAGATTAGCAAATTACATTATCTAGCATGTCAGAGAATATCATGCTACTGCTGTAAGTGATTTTTTTTTTCATTGTTTTTGTAAACTAGATTTTGTGTAAGTAAATAAGGCACCCACATCACTTCATATAATTATATATTTATTTGGTAGTATTCAGTGGTCATTTTTTTCCATCAAAGTAACACATGTTTTTCTGTTGAATTTTTTTTGTAGATGGTTTCCTTTCAGGTGATTTCACTCAGTCTAGTAACATTAAGTGCTGCTATATATGTTGATGGTGTTCAGATTTATATCTTTGTCCTGCAACTATTCTCTGAGCTCCACACCACACAGTTGTACATCATTTCTACTTGGTTATCTTAGGCTTTTCCTAATCACCATATTGCTCTTTCATTTCCTGCTCTATTCACATATTTCACCTTACAAGTGTATAATGTTTTATATACCAGTTTATCTAGTGACCAGAACAAGGTCATGCATATTGGAGCTCCAATAAGTTTTTTTTGATAAATGAGTAAATAAATGAGTGACCCCACTAAATAGTTTTTAAAGCTATATAAAAAATGTTGCCATAATTTCTTGCTCTTTTCTTCCAATATGTATTTGGCTAAGCACAGATACTGGGTTTAATTAGAATGTGATGCTATTCACTGAGTTGAAAAAATGCAGGTGAATTTATGTCTGAAAAATGAAAGTTTAATAGAATATTAACTATAATCGACAACCTGTTTCCTTCTAAAGTGGGTGAAGTGAAAACATATATACTCTAAAGGTAAAGTACAGGAAGATTATGCCTTAATAAGCCTGTGAAGATTATGCCTTAATAAACATTAAATACTAAATGTAGCTGAGAACTTCTTGACAACTAAAAAAAGGAAAATATTAAATCTTAAAATTTAAAAGGGAACATTTGATCTATAAGGATTTTCTCCCTTAGAAGCCCAGAGTTTTCTCTTTTGTAATAACTGTAATAACTGTTACAAAGTTTTGTTTATTTAATAACCATACAGAATACTTCAGTTCAGGCTTACATACCCATTACTATATCAACAGAACAAATTTTGAAGATTGTGAAATTTCCAGTTCCAAATTTCCCTCATTCTCTTAACCCCCCTTTCTCTGCTTTCTCCTTTATTCTTCCATCAAAATAAGAAAAGCCATTAGTTATTCATGCTTTCATATGAATAAAGTTAGGTTTTTTCTTAAAGATTTATTTATTCATATAAGAACTCGGGTACAAGCCAAAGGTGTGGGAAGTGAGAGCATTCACCAGAGACAAAGTGGGGAGTGGCCTAGTAGGTCAACTGAAATACACTGCTGTAGGGAGACAGGAGAGATCTGCCTTGCCATGTGGTCACTTTCCTGGCCAGAGATTGAGCTCATGCCACAGTGGTTGAGAATAGCTTCACTGTGCTGTGCTTTAACCCCTTGTACCACCAGGGAGGGCCCCAAAGTTAGGTTTTTGGTATGTGTTTTTTTTATGTCTCCCGACCATTTATGCATATTAAATCTGCTCTAGTTGTATAATGCAAAGTATAGTATCTAGAAAATACATTGTTTTATCCTCTTTGTACCCAAATACAAAAATAAGTTTGATAGTTTAATAATGTATTAGTATTAAAAGCCATGAACTGTACCTTTTCAGAGGAAGGGTGAAACACTTTGCCTAGTATAGAAAGATCTCCTGGAGGGAATATTGTTAGAGATGAATCTTAGACTATGGGTAAAATGACAATTAATGAAGATAAGATATAACCGGACAATTTGGCCAAGGACCCAATACAAGAAAAGGCAGGGCCTATCTTCAGGAGGGTGGCATGTCTGACTGTTAGATGTGGTATAGGAAAGTGTAAGAATGTAGGTTGATATTAAACAGAGAAGTCTGGAAAATTCTTTAAGCATTAAGAATTATTAAGGGGAGGTTTGAATAGGACAGTGATAAAACAACACTTTAGGGTGATTCATCTGTGAGTGATGTGTAGGATAAACTAGAATTTGTAACCTGTTTAAAGAAAAAAGGCAATATTATCATTCTTCTATTATCATCTGAGTATAAAAGAAAGTGTGCTTTTTTGGGAGTATCAGAAAAGATGTTTTGACTCAAATAAATTTCCTTAAACATGACATGCCACATTTAAATGGAGCCAACATAATTTAAGTATCTTAAGAATGCGTTCCCAAAATGTTTTTCTTTAGGGGGGAAAAAATGATGTTTGCTTCATATCTTACAGTGTTACAGTATTTTTTAGGTAATAGATGTACTTTTTTTAAGGAAAAGGAATGAAGAAGCATATATTGAAAGTATTACTTTATCATACTTCTAAAACTAGATCTCCTAAATCTAGTCTCAAGATCTCCATCATTCATACTTTAGTCCACATGTCACACAGAGCATTCACATAGGCAAGGGTGATTTCACAAATAATAGAAGACTACAATCCATTTGCTACCTTACTTTTATTAATGCTCTCTCTTGGGTATCATTCCATTAGCTAAACTTATGCAGACACCGCCAAAGGTTTTGAATGTTTTCTAAAGTCACAAAAGAAGTCTTTTTCCACTTAAAAAATGTCACCACTCGGCCCTCCCTGGTGGCGCAGCAGGTTAAAGCACAGCACTAAGAAACCTAAGCCACTTCCGCATGAGTTCAATCCCCACCTGCCCCGGAGGTGACCACATGGCGTGGCAGACCTCTCCTGACCTGCCCGCTGCTCCCCTCAGCAGTGTACTTTGTCAGTCGGCCTGTTCTACTCCCCACTCTGTCCCTGGTGAATCCTCTCACCCTCCGCATCTCTGGCCTGTACCCCAGTTCTGTATGAATAAATAAATAAATCTTTTTAAAAAAAAGTCACCACTCTTTAGCATTTTATTAAATGTTCATGTCCTTTTCTTTAATGATGATCCATTTTTTAAGTACAAAGTTAAGTCTGTTGGTCTGTGTAAGAAAGCGAAAAGAACTCAACCTCTTCATTTTGTTTATATTTTCTATAATATTGCTCTGTAAATTTACTTTACCTAGAAGCAGCAGTTTACTTATTAATTAAATAAGTATTAGAAAAAGATAGGAATCAAGATTGATACTCCAGATGTGGTTGAGCAGCCTTGTAGCTGTTGATGTTACTTGTCATAAGGGAAATGCAACAGATTTGGAGGTTTACATCATCAACTTAGTTTTGAAATATTTAGTACATTTATGAGACATCAAATAGAGATAGTAAGATTGAATCGAGAATTCAAGTTTAGAAACGAGAAAAGAGATATCTAAGGGCTGATGCTAATAATTTCAGAAATGTTTTAAGACAAAGGATAGAAGAATTCTTGTAGTGAAAAACTAAAGGGTAAGGAATTGGCCCATAATGGTACATGTAAGGCCTTTCCCATAAGGAAATTGAGAAGTAACTGGAGAGAACTATGAAAAATATGAATAATGCATCAAGAAATCCTAATACAATTCTTTTGTAAAATGTTTTAGAAGAGTTTCTGGCTTTTTTTCCATTTAACAAAACTATGTTCTAATTATGCTAAACAGGGGTTTCCCTCTCCTTTGGATATTTTCAGGGATATGAAGATTGGTTACGACATAACTCAGATAATGAAGTAAATGGAGCCCCTGTTTATGTTGTTCGAAGTGGTGGCCTTGTAAAAACTAGATCAAAAAACATTCGGGTATGTATTTCATAAATAATCCAAATCAGTTATATTTTGGTATTGCAACATAAAATTTTTTTCCAGATTGTATTTTTTTGTTGAGATAAGGTTGGTTTGCATGACTGTATATGACTTAGGGGTTACCATACCTTTTCTCCTCTACTGTAGTCCCTTCCTTCTTCAATTCTCACAACCTCTTTCCCTCTAGTAACTTTAATTTTACAGTCTTACTTTTAGTGTTTGTTTGGTTTAGCTTTGTCAGTTCCTTTGTTTAGTTTCTCTGCATTCCAAATGAAGTCATCCAGCATTTATCTTTCTCTTTCTGATTTAATTCATTTAGCATAATACCCTCCAATACTATGCATATTGTCACAAATTGCAAGATTTCATAGCTGAGTAGTATTCCGTTGTGTACATATGTATCACACCTTCTTAATCCACTCATCTATTATTGGGCACATAAGTTGTTTTCGTCACCTAGCTACTACTGTTTTTACATTCTTTGGGTAGATAACTAGAGGTGGAATTTCTGAATTATATGGTAGGTCTTTTTAATATTTGCCAAAGTTCCATATTCATAGCATATAATTCTAATATGATCATATTTCAGTTAAGAATCTTTTCCTATTTTTAAATATTGTGGTAGCCACTTTCTTTAAAGCCCAATAAAAGTAAATTCTAGCCTTTTATTATCTTTATATTCATAAAATATATTCCACACTTTTCCATAAAATCCATCATAGGTGGGTGATATTGTACGAATAGCCAAAGATGAAATTTTTCCTGCGGATTTGGTGCTTCTGTCCTCCGATCGACTTGATGGTTCATGTCACGTTACAACTGCTAGTTTGGATGGAGAAACTAACCTGAAGGTTTGTCCATATTTATGTTTGACTATTAGTTTTAGTGAACAAAATCTCTGGATGTTAGTGATATTTTCCTTTGATTAAGGTAATGAAATTTGTCCTAGTAAAGGATACTTTTTTTGTTTTTTTTTGACTTGAAATCAATCAACAAGTATTTATTGTGTTCTTATTTTGATGTACCCAACTCTTACAGGAGAGAAAAAGTGACATTATTTTCTCCTGGTGAATTACAGCTGAGTTGTTTCAGACTTATGACTTGAGTTACATATGTCTTTTTTTTTTTTTTAAATAATATAATAGTTTATTTTTATATCATTGTATACCTTTTTTTTATCTCAATTGTAATCCCTGTGTGTTTCCCATCACCAAGTCACCCATATGCCATCACCATAGTCCAGTGCACTTCTCTCCCCCAACCGTTTTTGATCCCATTCCCCACTCCACCCCCATAAAATGTCTCTGGTATATGGCTGTTCATTATTCTTATTATTCTCTTGCCTGGTCCATTATTCTCCTGCTATGAGTGAAACCATATGGTATTTTTCTTTCTGGCTTATCTCACTAAGCATGATCTTTTCCAGCTCCATCCATATTGCTGCAAAAGACATGTGTTTCTTTTTTTGGTGGCCAAGTAATATTCTATCGTGTATATGTACCACATCTTTTTAATCCAGTCATCTAGTTTTGGACATTTGGGCTGCTTCCATGTTTTTCTAATTGTAAATAAAGCAGCAATAAACAGGGGGTGCAGGTATCTTTTTGAATCAGTGTTTTTGTGTCTTTTGGGTAGATATCTAGGAGTGGGATTGCTGGGTCGTAGGGAAGCTCCATGTTAAGCAGTTTGAGGAAACTCCAAACAGTTTACCATAGTGGTTGTACTAGTTAAGGATAATTTTTTTTTAAAGATTCATTTATTTATGCATACAGAGCTGGGGCACAAGCCAAAGGTACAGGGGCGGTGAGAGGCTTCACCAGAGAGAGAGTGGGGAGCAGAACAAGCAGATTGGCGAAGTACACTACTGAGGGGAGCAGCGGGTAGGTCAGGAGAGGTCTGCTGTGCCATGTGTGTCACCTCCAAGGCCAGGAATCGAACTCACACTGAAGCGTTGCGGCCAGTTTGCAGTGTGGCGTCCTAACCTGTTGCACCATGAGGGAGGGCCCGTAAGGATGCATTTTTTTAAGCTGCAGAAACTTCCTTTAGTTGTTTAAAAGAAATAGTGTCATATTTATTTCAAAAGTATTTTCACATGGTTAAGAAAAAAATGAAAAATGTTTTCAGTAAAAATACAACCTTTTACTATTTATCTTTTTAGATAAGGGACATGTTTAAATTTTCTTAATTTTCAGAATGCAATCAAGGGTGAAAATGCACATTTTTCCCCATTACGTTGTTCATTAAAAAACTTTGAGCAACAGATTAACATAGACTTAACTTTTTTATACGCAGTACACTCCATAGACAGGTCATGTAACAGCTTCCTTTGCTCCTTATTATTTTACTTTCTTCTTTTTCTTCACTTCAGCATTCTAGCTGAATGATGTCAAATACAGTATACAATTATTTCATCAGTAAAGAGATTTTAAATAGGTAATTTTTAAAGTCTTTTGTGTCTTGACACTGCAATTTAATTCTTTTCTTATTAGATATTGGTTTTTATACGTAACTTGCAAAAAGCTTAAAGGAGAAGGAGAAAATTCATAGTTAACTTAACACTTGTGCCCTTAGCTCTGGGAGACAGTTTTCCTGAATGGATTATTCAATAGATTAAGTATATTTTTATTATTTTAGAGTCATTGCATGCCTCTTGATGTTTGTTGATCTGGCAAATTAACTCTTGTTACACTGTTATTAAAGTGTTCTAATCTTTTTTTTTTTTTTCCCTAGACACATGTGGCAGTTCCAGAAACAGCAGTATTACAGACAGTTGCCAATTTGGATACTCTTGTAGCTGTGATAGAATGTCAGCAACCAGAAGCAGACTTGTACAGGTACAGTGTAATATTCAGTATACTTATTTTAAATTCTGTTTACAAGTTCATGTTGAGCATCATAAACATAATACAGTGAAATTTTTAGCTACTTATAGACATTATTGGGGGAGAGAAGGAGGAGTGCAATTAAGAGGGGAAGAAAGCTACATGCAGAATTTACTGGATTTCTAAGAAAAAATAGTAATTAAAAAGTAGTGCTTTAATTCGCAGATGCTTCCTGTTACCTTTATGTTGTTATGCACTTGTGGCTTAGTTTATAACTATAATAGTAGTTAAAGGAGAAGTAAGAGTATTTATTTAGAAGAATATACTCTATCGGTATGTGTGGCACGTGTGCACATGCACACACACTTACACACCCCTACACCTAAACCTCCTATAAGCAGTGTCTATATCTTTGTGTTCATTGCTGCGTTATTTATAGGGTACTTTTTAAAACTAGAACCTTATAATTTATATTTCAATTTATAATTTAGCTATATAAGAATTCTAATATAATAAACCTTAAGAGCAAAAGACAAAAAGACAAACACAGACACAGATCTGTTCATTTTCATTGAAAATTTTGGCCATCCCCATTATTTCCCAGAGTCCTTGGGACCCAGTTTCTATTTGACCTTCCTAAGAACAGACCCATTTCTGAGAGAAAAGAACATCTTATTCACAGGTCATGAGGAGATCAAGAGAAGACACACTTTTGATCTGGAAAAGAAAATATAGCTTGACTCTTAAAGACCTTGCTTTTGAAGGTGGGGGGCGGAAATCAGAGTCACTAATTCATTTTTAACATAGTTTACAGTGAAAGTCATGAAAGCTATGAGCTATGCATGGAAACAACTTTTTATTATTAAACCAATATGAGGGTTAAACTAATTTTTACTCATTGTTACTGGTAATAGAATGTAAATTTCAACTACATTGTAAAAATTGCCTTCATCTCTTGTTTCATTATACATCTGCCTCTCTTGGTTGAAATGTTTCAAAATCTTGCCATTATTCTGAACTTTTCAAATTTTATATGTCTTTGTTTTGAACCCTTATTATGGAGCTTTCTATTATATGTGATGTTATAAAATTCTTGCACTTTCATCAAAGTCAAGTGCAGTACAGAATTTTCCAGTTAACAGTAAAAAATCTGGAATTATGAACTGTACGAGGATTTAAACTCTGAGATTCATTGAACTGTGGGAATATCTATATGTTTTTATTTTCTGATCCCAGACAATGTTGATTTACTTAAAAATTAATAAAAACTAGAAAATTATGCAGTACTAAGAAGGCATAAGATTATATATGACTAAGCTTTAGTGGGTGGTTTTTAAGTTATCTTGGAAAATTGGGATAAAGTGGCAAAAAATACTTATCGGAAGTAACTATTAGTTAAATGTTCTGAAAATGTATGTTTTGCTTTAAATATAAATGTAAATAACTACAGAATATAGTTATATTAAATGTAATAAAGCTATATAATACTACAAAAAAAATTGTATTGAAAAGATCTAGATCACTACCTATAAATTAACTTTACATATTATTTTTATTCATTGCAAATTAATTTTTAGCATCTACATGCTAGTGATAGGTGATAAATAACAGAACTTATAGTTTCTGTTCTTAAGGAGCCCATTAACTGTAAAGATATATATATACATAACTGTATTTTTTCACTTTTCTACATGCTGTTTATAAGCAAGCTATTTGATTTATTTTAATGTGCAAGTAAGAGAATGTTTAAATGGCTGCATGTTATAAATATAACATGAAATAATGTAGATATTAAATTTTTTTGCAGAGAATTTAATGAATTTAATGGGAACATGCCAAAATACAGTGTTAGCTAAAATAAGGTACAGAATTGTAACTCTCATGAGTGCATTTATAAAAAATAAATGTACGATTCTATATTAGATAGGGTATTAGGCAGCAAAATAGAAAAGTTGATAGCTACAGAAAGGATGACAAACCTGAAAGATTATATATTACAGTATTAGTTATTATGTCTTGGTGGTATGCTTTCAGTTGCTTTTTAGTTACCTTTTTGCCTCCATCTCATCTAGTATTTCATGAATGAAAATGGCTTGTTTTGTGATTTTTTTCCCCTCAGAGAGTATTTGCTATCTTACTGCACAATATTCTTTTTTAAATGAGATGCTATTTATCATTCATTGATAAAGCTAATGTTAATAGTATAGATTCATGCTTGATATGTGTATGTGCTTCCCTCACCCACACCAAAGTTCTAGACCACACAGTATTCTTAGTAGTCTTTTTTTATTATAATTATTTCTTATTAAAATAACATTGGTTTTCAACACCATGTATAAGTTACAGTAGGTTTATATCTCTTCAGATGTATGTCACCACATCACACCCACCTCCAAGTACCCATAGTTACTTACCATAGGCCATTAGGCATCTTCCCCACTTTGCTCCCACGACCACCCTCCATCCCCTGCTAGTAGCCTCAGTTTTGCAGTCATTTAATGCTCACTTTTAATGCTTTTGTCAATATCTGATTTTTCCATTGTTTTGGTTTTAGCAAATATTACCACTTTACCAAATCAAAATTTAGTAGTTGAATTGCTCATCACTCTCTCTTTAATACTATTGCTCACTTGATTTGCAGGTTACTCCTTTCCCTCTGCTTTCCTACCATATCACTAGTGTCTTCCTTGTCAGTTTCTCAGGTGGATTTGTCATCACCTCCCTGAATTTCATGTTAGAGAGCCCCAGGACTGTCCTCTGTCCTTCCCCATGTATCTATGCTCACTACACTCGCTCCCTTGTTGGTCTCTTCCAAGCTGAGGATTTTAAAGACCATCTTCATGCTGAAGATTCTCAGATCTCTATCTCTATCCCAGACTTTTTTCCAAATTCTAGGCCCATAAACTTGTTTTTGCATAATTTCACTTAAATATGTGGTAGAAATCTCAAATTAATCATGTTAAAAACTGACCTGCTGATCTTCCCTCTAAAACTCTTTCTATCAACATCCTTTCCCACTCTCAGTTGATGACAGTTCATCTTGTTGTTCAGCCCAAAAACCTTGTCTCAGCCATGATGCCTCACATTGCTTCACCTCCTCTCTCATATCTCAACCCAAGTCATCAGAACATCCTGTTCATTTACCTGGAAGTATGTCCAAAATCTTACCATTTTGTCACCACTTTCATTATTACTGTTTTGGTCCTAACCAACATCACCTCCAGCTGGATTATTGCTATCACAGACATTCTTACTGGTTTTTTGGTTTTTTTTTACTTTTCTTCTACTTGCAGTATAGTCTCACAAAAGCAGTAAGGAGTGATCCTTTTTAAATGTAAGTTCCTCTGCTCAAATCCTGCAGTGACCTCTTCCAACTCTTGCTGAGTCAAAACCCTTATCTTTATAATCCATAAGATCTAAAGACCTTACTGATTGACCAATCTTTCTTCTCTGACTTGATTTCTGACCCTTCTTCCCTCTTGCTTATTTTATTAGCCTCATTATTTTGCCTTGAATATGCAGTATTCACCTTTTAACTAATTGTATCTTACCTAACTCCTTTATTACCTTCTAGTCTTTGCTTGAGTCACCTCTTCAGTGAGGCCTAGTTTGCCATTTAATGCTGCTATTTCATCTTTCTAACTCTATTCTGCTTTTCTGTTTTCATAACATATACTACCTCTCAACTATATTAAATAATTTACTTATTTGTTTATTGCTTATTATTTCTCTCTCCTACTAAAAGATAAACTCAAGGTGATCTTTGTTTTGTTCAGCAATATATCTCAAGTATTTGGACAGATCTGGCATGTAGGAAAACTTACATTTGTTGACAGTTGAAAGAATAAATTTATTTATATACTTAATTTCACACACTTAAATTTTTCATTTATTCTCTATAATATGTCTAAGCAAGATTTATATGTGTGTTATTCACTTAATTCTGGAAGTACCTTAAAAAAGTAATAGGCACATGGTAGAAACTCAGTAAATACCTATTGAATGAACATATGAATGACAGAATTCCAAATTATCATTGTGACAAAGCATGTGTGAGCATTTTTATTGCCCATTTACACATCAGATATTGAGGCCCTAAATAACTGAGGCACAGTGCTAGACATTGAATACATCAGATATTATAGCTTCTGCCTCATTGAACAGATGGAGCTGCCTGAGAACAAACAAGTTATAGAAATGAAATTACTAGATTAAATTCTCAGAGTTTGACCTTTAGTGAACAGAGTGCCATGTTAATTTTCAAAAGCATTAGAATATTTTTATTGCCATGAGTAGAGTATAAATTGATGAGGGTTTTTGTTTGTTTCAAAATTTTACTGGTACTATTATATATTAAAATATTATAGTTTTAATATTTTTGCCAATTTGTCAGACAATAGTTTTATAGTATTAAAACCCTGGTTTAAATTTTTATTAGAAATACTAAATATTTGAGTGTTTATTAATTTTCACCCTTAAATATTGTCCATTTCTTTGCACTTACTTATTAGTTGAGGTTATATTATTCCTTTTTTCTTTAGATTTATTTGTGCATACAAGAACTGGGATACAGGCCAGAGGTGAGGGGTTGATTAGAGGATTTGCCAGAGACAGAGTAAGGAGCAGATTAGGTGGATCTAGTGAAATAAATTGCCAAGGGGAGAAGCAGGTGAAATAGGAGAGATCTGCTGTGCCATGTAGGATTGAACTTTTGCTGCATTGGCTGCAGATAGCTTCATAGTGCTGTGCTTCAACACCTTCTGTCAACAGGGAAACCCTATATTATTCCTTTTTAAAGAACTTGAATAGCTTATTGTGAGAATCTAGAGTATGGTAGGAAATGGTCTCTGCCAAAACATTGGGAAATATAAAAACTAGAAGAGTTTCCTGTTTAGGAGTAGCCTCTAGTAGGGTTTTATTTCACAATACTCTTCATCTTCTTTTCCCTTAACTCCTTTAATTTTGGTTTCGTTTTTTTCATTTGTTTCTTTCTTTCTATTTTTTCTACCTCTTTAATGTGTCAGACTCTGATTCAGCACTTTACTTTTAGGAATTTTTCCTGACAAAAATAAGGATATTCTCCTCATTAAGAAATTTATCTCAATGAAAATGTATAATGAGGGCCTGCCTGGTGGTGCAGGGGTGAAAGTCTCAGTGCTACACAAATAATCACCAGCCACTACATCACGAGTTGATCCAGGGCCAGGGAGGTGACCCACATGGCCCAACAGACCTCTCTTGTCTCAACTGCTACTCCCCTCAGTAATGTATTTTAGTAGATCTGCCTATTGTGCTCTCCACTCTGTCTCTGCTGAATTCTTTCTCACACATCCTCCTGTGCATCTCACCTACACCCAGTTATTGTATGCATAAATGAATAATCTTTTAAAAATGTGTATTAATAATGTGTACAAGGTTACATAGGAGTGGACTGCATTTTATTAGACTATCAGAAGTTCGAAAACTAAACTTCCACCAGTAGTGAATTACTTAAATAAATTATGCATTTATCCAAAAACACACTACATGTGGTCATTAAAAATAAAAAAAAATTATGTTTTTGATAGAATATGTTAGATAAGGAAAATGTTACCACCATATTTTATACTTTCATTCCATTTTTGTTTTTTTTAAAGATTGATTTATTTGTGCATACGGAACTGGGGTACAGGCCAGAGGCTCAGGGACGGTGAGAGGCTTCACCAGAGACAGAGTGGGGAGCAGAACAGGTAGATCGATGAAGTACACTGCTGAGGGGAGCAGCTGGCGGGTCAGGAGAGCTCTGCCATGCCATGTGGTCACCTCCAGGGCAGGCAGGAATCGAACTCATGAGGAAGTGGCTTTAGCTTCTCACTGCTATGCTTTAACCCGCTGCACCAACCAGAAAGACCCCATTTTTGTTTTTAAGTACATATTTTTATGTGCTTGGAAAATATACTCCAAAGTAATAACACTGTATTTGAGTAGTATAATTGTGATTATTTCCCTTTTGATATCTTATCACAATCATTTTATAAGATGTGTCAGTGTGTGTAATCTTTATAATCAAAAAAGAGAATAATAAAACTATTTTCACTTTTGAACAAAACAAAGTATGGATTTGCAGAAAGGGTTAATGAAAGTGAAACATGAATTAATCTAGCATGGAACTGACATGAATAGATATAAATTACTTAGAATCAAGGATAACAAGACAGATAAAATGAAGGAAAACAATTGTCTTATTAAAATAAAAAAAATAAATAACTGATCCCACATCATCTCAGATGCCCAGGGAGATAGCCGCTGAATTAGTTCTTTGAATCTAAACCCAATATCAAGACGTTATTTCAAGGTTACATAAAATTTCATTGAGTGAGAATAATAATAAAAATAAAAAACAGTGCTTCTTTCTAATACAAGGAACTGAAGGAAGAGGGAGATGAGTAAGAAAGAAGTCAAAGTGTACAAGAGAAAAAGCATCTATGACCTGAAAAAAGGAAGGCTGTTAGAAGACAGTTAGAAAGCAATGCTATTTCTTTTTCTAGATAAATGGTTATTAAAATAAAGGCCTGCCATAATTTGCTTCAACTCAGAATGTACCTCTCACTGTTGTGTAAGTAATTGTATACTTGCAGTGACTCTATGCTATGGACCTGTTTTGGTAGTTGGTACTGAATGATCAAGCAATGAAAATTCATTGTGATGACAGGTCACTCCAGATTTCAGGCAACCAAAAGTTAAAGGGTTATGTAATACACTGATGCATTTCTGCTTACTTCTCTGTTCCCAACACTTAACTCACATGTGGTAATTGCTCAGTGAGTATTTCTTGTTTCTTGGATGAATGAATGTATAAATAAGAGAGTGAATGAATGAATGAATGATTTTGGTCAAGGGAGACATTATTTAGTAAACTGATAAAATTATGAGCATTCATTGTTGACTTAATGATATATGCACCTTTGTAGCGGTAATATATATTCATGATAGCCAAACTAATAATAGTAATAATATTTGTTATTTTGAAAGCATGCTTTTAATTCAGTATGTCATTCATAGCTGGAATGGAGATGGCAGACTATTATATTTTTAAAGGTTTAATGAATAAATATTTATTTACTTTTGTAACTTCTGACATGAATGTTGGACCACTTACGTATACAAAATTCCTAACTTTCTTTCATGTATAAATATAGGGCCAAATCTATCTAAAATTATCTACCTATTGACTTCATAACATATTAGTGGTTTTTTAGTAACATGGTAAATTCTTTGATAGATTCATTGGACGAATGATAATAACTCAACAAATGGAAGAAATTGTAAGGTAAGAATAAGTTTGAATTGTTCAATTACTTTTAAGTAAGAGTTGTTTAGGGGAAAAACCAAAATCAAACTAAAAGGAGATTAGGTAAATAAGCAGCAAAAGTTGAGAGGGCTAGTTTAAAAGCATTTCACATTTCATTTTCTAATTACTAGCAACAACAACATGTAAAGGTGAGACAAATTCCATAAAGTGATTGATTCTAAAATAATTAGATTATTTATATACTTGTATTTATGTTTCAAATAATATTAGATAGTAACAGAAACATAACAGTTTACATTTAATTCCTTACACACACCTTCTACATTTAAAGTCTAGAATACAAAAAAATGTTTTATTATGTTTAATATGTAAAACGTTATGGTCTTCTTTATTTCAGAATCATTCAGAAAAACTAGAGCTTTTAGTAGCCATTTTAGAACCTCAGTTCTGACTGGGTTTTTATTTGTTTGGCTCTTTCAGACTGCTTTACTTCAATATTCTGGTTGATTTCTACTTCCTATATGAGAGGTTTTGAGCAACTTCAATATTTGCTACTAGGATGAGATGGTGTTATCAATAAGACTGGATTAGAATAAATTTGGAATAAGCCCTTAAATTTATAATCAACATTTCACCTCTTTTCTGAAGACATGTTCATTTTACACTGGCTGCGTGAAATAAGTCACCAAAAATATACATCAGCACTGTTTCACATTTTTAATAAACATTAACGACATTCATTAAACTTTGCAGCAAGGTCTTTGCTAAAGTGTAGGGCTACAGATAAATAGCTGACTGGGTTTTGTTTTGGTTTTTGTAATGTCATAATGGGATACGCTTGTGAATACATAATCTAGATTGCATTAAAATACTGTTTCTGATAAAAGAGAAGATGAATTATGTTAACTTAACCCCTGGAATGATTTTAAAAATGAGCCATGATTTTTGATGAAGCAACCTTTGTTGATAAATTATCTTTTAATTTGAAACTTTCTATCTTAATTTTACATGCCTGTAAGAGCACATAGTTTTTTCTATCCACTCTTGGAACATTCGTTTTATGGCTCTTGAGTACTGATTCTGATATGATATTCATGAATATTCTCCAAATCTAAATATTTAATAAAACCATACTTTTAACTATGTCCCAAACATCTCCTTTGTTCATTAAATTTTTTACAGTGTTTGGGCTTATATACATCTTCCAAATTGTTTCAGTTTCTTCTTGATTTGGATAATGGTGTAGTTTTAGAAAAAAGTAAGAAATACTAGCAAAATTAAGATGTTTTTTATCAACAACAGAGTCTTAACATTTTGCTATTTCTAAGAAAAAAAATTCATTTCTAATAATTTGTTCTTGTTTTCTGTCTCCTTTATGGAGACATCCAAACAGCAGGAAGACCTGTGGTCCAAGAATGCAATGCAAGTAGTCAAGTTGTTATGTCAGTCTTGCCTAGAAAAAGTACTAACCCACTCACTCCTTAGGTTTTATGATGCCACGTAATTTTCATTGTGCAGAACTGATGCATTTATACACAGTTCATACTACAACTTATGTTTACATTGCATTTTACTTTTGTATCTTCCTTTAAAAACTATTAATTTAGCTTAAAATTCCATCATTGCTTTTTTATTTTGTTGTGTTTTATGTTTAAAAATTTTTGAGACTAGTGACTTTGTGAGTTTATTTACATAGATCTTTTAATTCTGAGCCACTGATCTAAAAGTGACTGAAATGCTAAAACAGGTTATTTATTCATATGGTAACTAACATTATGTTTGGCTTAGACAGCTTTATAGTAACTGAGATTTTTGGTTTTATATAAAAGCAGTGCTATAACTATAGTGCAAGTATAGTTTGCTGAAGATGTCATTTTAGAATTGAATTGAATTTTTAATCTATTCATTGCTTTTGGTTTTTTTTGTTGTTGTTTCCTAGACCTCTGGGGCCAGAGAGTCTCTTGCTTCGTGGAGCCAGATTAAAAAACACAAAAGAAATTTTTGGTTTGTATATATTGCAAATTTTAATTATAAATTCATTTTGATTCCTCATATACAATTTTTTATTAACACAACATTGTGATCTTTTGGTTTGATAATTGATGGTATGCTTAAGTGGTTATGATAATTTTCTTGCAATGATTGTGTAAATAATTCACATTGTTAATATTTATTAATTCTTATTTCTTGGACAATAAGCTAAACCTTGCTATGTATTTTTTTGTGAATACTTGTAAAACTGAATGCCAAAAAAATAATTCCAGCTCTCCTGGAATTATGGGTTAGACCCAATATACCTGAGCCTTAGTGCAAGTTTTTGATTATTCTTAGATTGAATTTAGATTATTCCTTAAATTGAATTAATAAAACTACAGATTCATCTATCCGTCCATCCATTTGTTCAACATTTATTCACTAAATCAAAAAGATAAATAGGATTCTTTCATTAGGTATCTATGTTAATTCATTATGCTCTGAGTCAACTATGAAAATTATGAATTTGATGATGACAGTTGTCAACCTGCTGTTCCCATTTCAGGAAATCTCCAGCTTTTGTTGGACATACTGTGTTCAACATACATTATCACTAAATGTATACAGCCTTTGAAGTTGTCTGCTTCATTCTCTTCTTTCCTATTACCTGTACTATATCTTGTCTCTTAGTATTAGGCACTCTAATGGAGAAATCCATATATTTAAAAATAACTAATTTTGGTGAGCTCTATGTTATGAATATATATTTCACAATTAAGAAAAAAATACTATAATAATGATCTGATGGCAAAAGCCAGAGAAGCCCTAAAGACCAGGACTCTTAGGCCCATTCATGTACCTTAGACCTTCCATATACTATTAATATATTCTTTAAACATAACACCTTTTACACTCTTAAGAGGAAATGTGTATTTGAATGCCTTTAGATGAATCTTTTTTTCCCTCAGTACAACCAGGCATTTTGCTAATCTGTTACACAAGCTTCACACAACTCTATGGGGGCTTTTTCTCTCTCCACCATTAAAGTCAGGGAAATTGAAACTCACAAAAATTACATAACATACCCAAGGATATAGAAATAGTAAGTGGCAGAACTAGCCATCATTCAAACCATTATCTAACTCCAGAGACTTTTTTTATAAGGCTGGTTTTAAACAATTTCATTCACTCTCCAGCTTTAGTGCCTTTATTATTATCATTCTCAATCATTTCAGTCATTCACATAGTCACAGATTTTTAAAAATAGAACTTTCCTTGTATCTACTCCCCCTATTCGGAAAGATTTCCATATAATCTCTCCACTGACTATGAAATTGTATCTGTACTTCAGATTCTTGCATTTTAGACCATTCAAACTCAGATTCTAATCCATTACTCTAATGGAAAGTGCTTTCCAGTTCTGTCCTTTTTAATAATACTCTTTGTTATAGTTGTTACATCCCTCCAGCCATCTTCATCTTTCCACATTCTCTTCCTCCATCAAATCCAACTCAAATTATCTGTATCTTGCAATTAGCAGAGATCTTTTATTTTCCTTTTTATAATATAATAGTTTGTTTTTATATCATTTTGAACACTTTTCCATCTCAGTTACAATCGCCTTGGGTTTCCCACCACCAAATCACCCATGTGCCATCATTATAGTCCAGCGCATTTCCCTCCCCCCACTGTTTTTGATCCCATTCTCCACTCCACCCCCACAACATGTCTTTGGTATATAGCTGTTCATCATTATCATTATTGTTAGCAGAGAAGATCTTTAATTCAGATATTCCTTAGAAATCACTCAACTCAGAAATACAACCACCATGCCTTATGTAATTCAGCAGTTGAATAACCGTAGTTTTCAAAAATTGTACATGGAAAGCCATTTAAAATTCTGAAGACTTAAAGCTGTAACATCTATCAGACAATACATTTGCTTAGATGGTCCTGCTAGAAAAGTACATCTTTCTTATGAAACATATTAGAGGATTATTTTTAAAGACTATCTCATGTTGTTTTGCAGGTGTTGCTATATACACTGGAATGGAAACTAAAATGGCTTTGAATTACAAGAGTAAGTCACAGAAACGATCTGCAGTAGAAAAGTAAGAAAACTGGCAGTTTTTATTTATTTCACAAAAATATGACATATAGCATTCATATATATAAAATACATATGTCAGGTAAACAAAGCTTGGTATCCTTGAAGATAGCAATAATTTATTCTATTTTTATATAATATGTGGTATTTTGCAATGTTCTATTTATAGTAGGTAACAAATGATGACTGAAGAAATACTGTTAGGTAGGCACACAATCAGTTAGTCATACTAATGCTACCATACCATATAATGGTAATTCTAGACAAAACATTGCTTAAAATAACTACTCTCCTCTCTTATCTGCTGCTCCCTTCAGCAGTGTATTTCAGTGGATCTGTCTGTTCTGCTCCCTACTCTGTGTCTGGTAAATCCTCTGCACCCCACCCCACATCTCTGGCTTACACCCCAGCTCTTCTATATATAAATAAATCTTTTAAAAAATGAAAAAAAAAGAAACTATGTCCACAGTGATTGGATCTTGCAAAAGATTTGGAAAATGGGTCTGTTCACTTGTAATTAATTTTCAGCCAAAGTACCAAATAATTCAATGAAGACAATAGTCATTCTACAAATAATGCAATACCAATATATATTAAAAAAAAAAAAAAACTAAACATCTTCCATTTACCAAAAAGCTTTCTGAGGTAGATCACTGAGCTTAAACTTACACTAAAACTATAAATCTTTTACAAAAGACTTAGGAAAATGTCTTCACACCCTGAAAATAGACAAATTTTTTTTGGACACAGAAAGCAATATGGGAGGCCCCATAATGATTCTCTTGTTGTTATTAAATGGTCATTTCTTAAAAATAGACTGTCCTTTACCTTAATATCTTATGTCTTAATATCTCCCTGGTAGTGTGAGGGGTTAAAGTATAGCATTATGAAGCTACCTGCAGCCACTGCAGCATGAGTTCGATCCCCGGCCAGGGAGATGACCCACATGGTGCAGCAGACCTCTCCTGTCTTACACACTGCTCCCCTCAGCAGTGTATTTCAGTAGATCTACCTGTTCTGCTCCCCATTCTGTCTCTAGTGAATCCTCTTACCACCACCCCCCACCCCTCTCACCTGTACCCCAGTTCTTCTATCCATAAATAAATCTTTAACAAAAAAGAACACAACAAAGAAAAGCAAAATACCAGTATTAATTTCTAAGCAGCTCAATATGGTTACATAAAACTTACAAGTTTTACCTTCTGTCTTTTCTCATTTCAGGTCAATGAATACATTTTTGATAATTTATCTAATAATCCTTATTTCTGAAGCCATCATCAGTACTATCTTGAAATACACATGGCAAACTGAAGAAAAATGGGATGAACCTTGGTATAACCAAAAAACAGAACATCAAAGAAATAGTAGTAAGGTATTTTATGATGTTCATGACTCTGCTATGAAGGAAATTTTTGTTCTTTGGCACAGTTAATGCTTTGTTAGTGATTTCTGATAGAAGTGACCACTGTAATCTCTTAAAGCCATTAGTAGAGAAGGATGACAAAAAGACAGTGCAGGAGCTCCCTGGTGGTGTAAGGGGTAAAGTCACAGCATTATGAAACTATCAGAAGTCACTGCAACGAGTTTGATGCCCCGCCAGGTTGCTGACCCACATGGCACAGCAGATCTCTCCTGTCTGACGCTCTGCTTCCCTCAGTGGTGTATTTAGTTAATCTGCCTTTTCTATTCTCCCCACACTATCTGTGATGAATCTTCTTAACCATCCCCCCATCTTTGACTTATGTCCCAGTTCATGTATATATAAATAAATCTTTTTTTTAAATATCATACAAATAAAGAGTAGCCAGCATGTTTGTACTGGTGTGCTTTTTCACTGTAGAACATGGCATGATGAATATTTACAAGATTATTACAAAAATTTAAATCCTTTTGTACAGGCATTCTACCTAAAGTACTGCAAATTCAGTTTTACATTTACTGTATAAGTGAATTAAAGTTTAAGTTGGTATATTTTTAATTGTCAGAATGGATTCAAGGAATCTTAGTCTCTTGCATATACAAAGATGAATTCACAAATTACGTCATACAAAACTTATAACTGATTAAATATGGACCAACTGAGGAGAATTTAACCTGCAAGTTTGATAAATTATTTGATAAATATTGGAAAATTTTCCTCCAAATTTCACTTTATATTAAAATACAAATATTGAATGACAAATGTGGATCTCAAGAAACCAAAAGCAGATAATCACAAGAATATATTTTCAGTGTCTTCCATAATTTTGTTTTCCTACCTTTCCTAAAATACGTTAAAATGTGGAACTGTTAGACAGTTGACATAGGCTATTCCTGTACAATTTATAAACTAATAATTTTAATTTCTACCAGTAATATCCTAGCAATTTTATAATTTTTTAAGTACAGCAAATTTTTAAAAAAATATTTTAAATAATATAATAGTTTATTTTTACATCATTTTGTGCCTTTTTTCCATCTCAGTTGTAATCCCCTTGGGCTTCCCACGACCATTTCACCCATATGCCATCATCATAGTCCAGTGCACTTCCCCCCCATCCCCACTCTTTTTTTTTTCCCCCATTCCCCCACTCCACCCTGTAAAATGTCTCTGGTATATAGTTGTTCATTATTATTATTTTGTCCCCCCGGTCCTTTATTCTCCTGCTATGAGTGAAACCATCCGGTATTTTTCCCTTTCTTTCTGGCTTATTTCACTGAGCATGATCCCTTCTAGCTCCATCCATGTTGCTGCAAAAGGCATGTGTTTATCCTTTTTGGTTGCTGAGTAATATCCCATTGTGTATATGTACCACATCTTTTTAATCCAGTCATCTACTTTTGGGCATTTGGGTTGATTCCATGTCTTTCCTATTATAAATAAAGCAGCAGTAAACATGGGGATGCAGGTATCTTTTTGAATCAGTGTTTTTGTGTCTTTTGGATACCTAGGAGTGGGATTGCTGGGTCATATGGAAGCTCCATTTTTAGTAGTTTGAAAAACCTCCAAGTGGTTTTCCATAGTGGTTGTGCTAGTTTGCGTTCCCACCAGCAATGCAGGAGAGTTCCTTTTTCTTTACATCCTCCCCAACATTTGTTGTTGCTAGTTGTTTTAAGATGTGCTGTTCTCACTGGTGTATAGTTGGTATCTCATTGTGGTTTTAATTTGCATCGCCCTTATACAAGTGATGTTGAGCATTTTTTCATATGCTTGTTGACCATCTGCATTTCCTCTGGAAAAGTGTCTTTTTAGCTCTTCTGCCCATTTTTTGATGGAGTTGTTTATTTTGTTGAGTTTCACCTGTTCATTGTATATCTTTGTGATCAATCCTTTATTGCTAGTTTTGTGTGAGAAAAAATTTTCCTAATCAGTGGGATTTTTTGTTTTTTGTTTTTTGTAATGTCTCTTTTACTGTACAGAAGCTCTTTAACTTGATTTAGTCCCGTCTGTTTATATGTGTTCCTTCACTATCGTTGCACTGGGTGCTGTATCTTCAAAGATGTTACTGAGATGTATGTCATGTAGTGTTTGGCCCATCTTTGCTTCCAGGTATTTTATGGTTTCTGTTCTAGGTCTTTAATCCACTCTGAGTTATTTTTTGTGCGTGCTGCAAGGTAGTGATCTGGTTTCATTTTTTTGCATGTAGCCTCCCAGTTTTCCCAGCACCATTTGTTGAACAAACTTTCTTTGTTCCATTATGTCTTCTTTGCTTCTTTGTCAAAGATTAGCTGCCCATAAACCTGTGGGTTTATATCTGGGTTTTCTATTCAGATCGACTGGTCTGTGTGTTTGTTTTTGTTCCAGTACCATGCAGTTTTTAATTTCATGGCTTTGTAGCATATCCTCAAGTTTGGGATTGTGATGCCTCCATTCTCTTTCTTTTAGTCATGAGTTTTGGCTATTTGAGGTCTTTTGTGGTTCCAGTTGAATCTCATCAGTGTTTGTTCTATTTCTTTGAAGAATGCCATTGAGACTTTTATTGGGATGGCATTAAATCTGTATATCACTTTTAGTAGGATGATGATGTTAATTCTCCTGATCCATGAGCCGGAGATGTCGTTCCATTTCTTGGTGTCTTCTTGTATTTCTTTTAATAGTGTTTTGTAGTTTTCTTTGTATAGGTCTTTTACCTCTTTTGTTAGGTTGATTTCCAGGTATTTGATTCTTTTTGTTTTAATTGAAAAGGGGATTTTTTTTAATATCCACTTCTTCTGATGGGTTGAGTACAACCAATTTTTAATCATATGATTTTACAGGATAGATGTAAAATGGCAAATATACTCCAGGGACTACCAGTGTTTCCATCATAGCAGGCTTTGGGGTAGCTTTTGGAAAACAATAAATAATTTGACTTGACCCTTCTTTCTTTTGTTCAAGTTTCTAATTAGCAATAAAATAACCAAAAGAAACATGGTGTTAAAAAAATTCAATAAATGAACTTCAATTTACAAGATTATTCTGCCTCAGAATATAGTTTGATTTCTTATAATTCTCACGTATTCTCTCTTATCAAACAATTGTTTTCTTCTCCCTAGATTCTGAGATTTATTTCAGACTTCCTTGCTTTTTTGGTACTCTACAATTTCATCATTCCAATTTCATTATATGTGACAGTTGAAATGCAGAAATTTCTTGGATCATTTTTTATTGGCTGGGATCTTGATCTCTATCATGAAGAATCAGATCAGAAAGCTCAGGTCAATACTTCTGATCTGAATGAAGAGCTTGGACAGGTAAAAATGATTCTTTTGTTTTCCTAATTGTTATCAAAACAATACATATACAAAGACTGTTAAAAGAGAAAATATCACAAGGCTTATGCCAAAGAAGTCCTACGTTGCTCAGAAAGGCACAAATTTCCCTCAGTGCTGAGCCACTTGAACCAAGGGGAGGATCAACATTCACTAACAGGTCAAGGAATACCACCAGTTATACTCTCAGAGAAGCCTAAAATCACAGATACCCCTTTGGCTGCAGCAACTTTTGTTAGCAGAGCCTTTCACTTGAGGCTCAGGCATGGAGGGGTGGGGAGGTGGTAGGAAGGGGGGATGCAGTCTTGGATCATAGGCATTTGCAGTTGTGTGAGCCTGTCCAGATGCCTGTCAGGCTTGCCTAGGAGAGGTGCTAGTATTTCTTAGGACCACCGAGGTAGCTGCCAGCAGCCCCAGGTGCTATCAAGTTAGTGTCTGCCTAGAAACCTATTACACCTTTGGGAGACATGTACTTGGCCCTGCTACAGCTTACTAATAGCTACTGGGAACCCAAGGAGTCTGAGGGGGTAACAGATGGGGAAGTAGTTTGAGGGCAATGAGTGTCTACCCTTCTTTTTAAATGACTTGTTTTTCAAATTGTTAATGAAATCAAATGCTTACCATAATGAGATTTGACTATTAAATTCTTTCTGTGTAACTGCTTTCTTTTAAGGTTAATTTTCTGTAATTATTCTTAAAAAATTATAAAGTTATTTGTCTCTTAAAATATTTGTTGTCAAAAATATTTCCTTTTCATTGAGTTTGTTTTCTATTCAGGGGTTCAGTCTCTTTAATTTTAAACAATTACTATTGTTTTGTGTTTCTTTTTCGAACACTATACCATTTCTCCTGGACTTGACACCCTTTCACATTCCAGATTACTAAGCATCTCTTTCAACCTTGCTCAGAAATACTAAGTTCTGCTATTCAGAAACATCTTATCCAGGAGATAGAAAAAAAAATATTAATAACACAGTATCAGTCAACTCTACAGCTAAACATAAACATGTCACAAACATCATAATGTCTATAGATTTAAAATATTTGTGTTACCCCATCTTGTATCTATGGCATTTTTATTTAAATGTATTTACATTTTGAGAATCAGCTTGAGTATATCAGTGTTAATAGATAAACTTGACTTCAAGGGACAGAGGACAGGATTTTTTTTGTTTAACACAGTACCATAAACACAAAGGTTTGTTTTCTATCTCTAGGTGGAGTATGTGTTTACAGATAAAACGGGTACATTGACAGAAAATGAAATGCAGTTTCGGGAATGTTCAATTAATGGCATAAAATATCAAGAAATCAATGGTAGACTTGTATCCGAAGGACCTACACCAGACTCTTCAGAAGGAAACCTATATCTCAGCGGTTTATCCCATCTTAACAACTTTTCCCATCTTATAACAAGCTCCGCTTTTAGAACCAGTCCTGAAAATGAAACTGAACTAGTAAGCAATCTTTTAATTAATAATTTCATTTGAAATAGTCATCTTTTTGTTGCTATTTCCTGTGAAAAAAGTTTAAGTGCCTATAGGACAGGAAATGTGTATTGAAATGTATATCCTCTTATTCAGCACTGAGAACTTGTGGTCATAATCCATTTTAATTGGGGACATCAGATGTGTCTGAATTCTTTGGGTATTTAAATGGCACTAAGTTGAGAAAAGCCCTTACTCACTTTGAAGTAAAGAAAACATTTCTGAGAAATAGAGCTTACTACTTTACTACTTTTTGAGAGCTTACCCTCCACAATGAGTTTTCCTCTAATTGAAATTGGTGTGCCTCCTAAAAATATATTCATGTTGAGGGAGCAGAGGCAAACGTTGACTTTAGTCTTTGAAGTCAGAAGCAACCAGCCAATTTTCAGACAATTCAGGATTATACAGTTCTTGTTCTAGCTCTTATATTACTAAGTTATAAACATTTTTAGAATTCTGCTTCTGGTTTCCTAAATGTTACTGAGAATGGTTATTGTGAATTATGTTTCTATAGATTCAAGAACATGATCTCTTCTTTAAAGCAGTCAGTCTCTGTCACACTGTACAGATTAGCAATGTTCAGATTGATGGCATTGGTGATGGTCCCTGGCAATCTAACCTTGCACCCTCCCAGTTGGAATACTATGCATCATCACCAGATGAAAAGGCTCTCGTTGAAGCTGCTGCAAGGTAGTTTAATTTTAAGTCTTTAGAAAATTACCATTGAAATGAAAATGGAAAATATTAGAAAATTGGGATTTTAAATTTTGTTGTCACACAAAATTTATAAGCATATAAATATAGAAGTGCCTTTTTAAAATTTTTTTAATTAAAAAAATTTATAATATATCCATTGCATCATCCTTCATTTTTGTACAGTGTATGATTTCCCCTTGAAATTCCCACCACCTAGTCACCCGTGTGCCATCACCATAGTCCCTTGTGCTCTTCCCATTCTGTCCTGATCCTTCCCTCACCTTCTCCCCTAGAGAATATCTCTGATCTATAGTTGCCTGATGGTTTTGATTTTTACTTTTATTATAGTTGACTCCCTCCCACCCCCATTCCTTATTTGGTTTCTCTACATTCCTCCGAAAGCACCCTTTGATAGCTCAGCTGGTAGAGTGGAGGACTGTAGACTAGAGGTATAAATTTTAAGTGAGAATTTGAAACATCTCATTAACTTTTTTTGTCAAACTTGGCATTGATTCATATTTTGAAAAGAACTTCTTAAAAAATTTGGTTAGTATGTAGGAAATATTTCTATATGGCTTTGTACCAACTCTGATTCTTAAACTTATTTAAAGTACTGTAATATTCAGAGGAACATAAAAATATATCATAAACATATTTTAAATGTTTTTATTTAAGCTGAGTTATGACATTATAGTGAAATATTAAATATCCCTTAAATCTTACAGTTCTTTTTTCTTTGAATCCCTAGAATTGGTATTGTATTTATTGGCAATTCTGAAGAAGCTATGGAAATTAAAATACTTGGGAAGATAGAACGGTAAATTTTTCCCTTGTTATTTTCGATACAAGTACTTTGTATAGGAGAGGACTCAATGAACTATAGTCCACACGACAAATCTGGCCTTCAGTCCTTTTTTTTTTTTTTAAGATTTATTTATTTATACATACAGAATTGGGGTACAGACTACAGGTGCAGGAGCGATGAGAGGATTCACCAGACACAGTGGGGAGCAAAACAGGCAGATCGACAAAGTACACTGCTGAGGGGAGCAGCAGGCAGGCCAGGAGAGGTCTGCCCCACCATGTGGTCACCTCCAGGACAGGGATTGAATTCATGCTGAAGTGGCTTTAGCTTCTTAGTGCTGTGCTTTAACCCCACTGCACCATCCAGGAGGGCCTTCAGTCCATTTTTTAACAAACCACTAACTATATTACATTTTTAAAGGATTGTCTAAAATGAACAACAAAAAAATATACAAGAGAGAGCATATATCATCTGGAAAGCCATTTATAGAAATAGATTTACTAACTAGCCCTTATAGAAAAAGTTTACTGACTTCTCGAAAATGATGTCAATATAATAATTAATGTATTTTATCACAGCAATAATATTCTGTGAATATTCTGTGAATTTTTTCATCTGTATTTCAGCTTGATGCTTCTTGAATTTGCTTATATAATTCATTTATCTTTTTTATTGAGATAACAATAGTTTGCAACACTGTACAAGATTTAGGGATATAGGATCACACCTTTCAGATGCATTACCACACCACATTCACCACCAGATAGCCAGTCTTCCAGGATAGTGCATCACCCATCCTTCCCTGCAGTTCCCACTTTGCTCTCCTGTTTATCCCTTCCTCTGCTAGCCTCAATTCTACAGTAAGAGTTTTAGGGCTTGTTACTTGGTTTCATTTTGTCTGACCCTTTGTTTTATTTCTCTGTATTCCACACAGAAGTGATACCGTCCAGTATTTGTCTTTTCTCCTAATTTAGTTTGCTGGCATAATCACCTACAGTTCCCTACATTGTCACAAATGCAAGTTTACCTTTTTTTATAGCTAATACTCCATTGTGTGTGTGTGTGTGTGTGTGTGTGTGTGTGTGTATACACCACTTCGTATTACCTACTCATCTAGCTTTGGGAACTTCAGCTGTTTCCATAGCTTGACTATTGTAGATAATGCTGCAATGAACATAGACAGTCATTTATTCCTTCAAATTAGTATTTTTACCTTCTTTGGGTAGATACCTAAGAGTGAAGTTGGTGGATAGTATGGTAGATCTATTTGTAATATTTTGAGAATTCATCATACTGTTTTCCATAAAGTTGGACTAGGCTACATTTCCACTTACAATGTACAGTGTTCTCTGCTCTCCACCCCAATGAAGACTTCTGGTCTTTTTGTCACAGGTTTGAAATGGTATCTCTTGTGGTTCTGATCTGCATTTTCCTAATGAGAAGCAATGATGAGTATTTTTTCATGTGCTTGCTGGCCATCTGTATTTCTTTGAAAAATTGTCTGTTTACCGCTTCCCTCCATTTTTTAATTGGGGTCTTTGTATTCTTTTGTTGAGTTGTATGAGTCTTTGTAGATCTTGGATATCCATCCCTCGTCAGGTTTCTGATGTGCAAGTATTTTCTCCCACTAAGTAGGTATCTTTTTGTTTTAGTTACAGTTTCTTTCACTGTGTAGACCTTTTTGTTTGATCTAGAAGTCCCAATTATTTATATTTTCTTTAAACAGTTTTTCTTATTAGAGGCAAATCCTCAAAACATCATGAAGCCTATGTCATGTGTTTTCTTATGTATTTTATGGTTTCAGGTCTTCCATCCAGGTCTTAGCATTTTCAGTTAATTTTTGTGTCTGCTGTGAGATGGTGTGTAGTTTCATTGTCTTGTATGTGGCTGTCCAGTTTTCCCAACATCTTTTATTGAGACTGTTCTTTCTCCGATAATAGAAATGTTCACATATTGTTGAAGCTTGAGGATTGTCTGAACACCAAAAGTAACAGTTACACTTAACAAGTAGCAGAGCCTCTCTGAGGAGCTGGGACCTCCTGGGTTCTTCTCTTAGCCCATTTATCTGTGCTAGTGTGTTCATTTCATCCTGTATCCAGGTACACAATAATTCTGCTATTTTCCATCACCTAACAATTTGCAGAGCATATACAGATTCAATTTGCATGTTGTTAACTTAAAACATGCTAATTTTAAATAGGAAAAAGGAAGAAACTGTGTACTTTAAAAGAATGTGTATTCAACTTCTGGGGGGGCAGGGTTACATGCCCTATAAATGTTATCAAACCCATATTGCCTAATTCTATGCATAAGGCTATTTGTTACCTTATTTATTTTCTGTTAGATTAACCTGCCCATTGGTATAAGTGGAGTGCTGAAATCCCCATGCATTCTTCATTGCTGGAAATGTCTGTTTTCAGATTTACTAATGACTGCTTTATACATTTTGATGCTCCTTTGGTGAATATATGTTGATAAGTTTTATATGTTCCCTGTGTATTATTCCTTTAGTCATTAGGTGGTAGTGTCCATTCCTGTCTCTTGTTATCTTTGTTAGCTGGAAACCTGTTTTGTCTGACATAAGTTTGGCCATCCTGCCTGCTCATTTGCTTGAAGGATTATTTTCTAACCCTTTGTTTTGATCATGTGCTTGTCTTTGAAACCTAGTTGCAATTTCTTGTGCCTGTAGAAAGTTGGGTTTTGACTTCTGATCCAGCAAGCCACTCTGTGCTTTGTGATTGGTGAGTTTAGTCCAATTACATTTAAGGTGGTTAGTGATATATGAAGGTCTGCTACCATCATTTTGTCCTCAGCTTACAAGTTGTGTTTGTTACCTTGTTCAGTTTTTTTTTTTCTTTATGCTTTCCTCTTCAAGTTAGATATAAGAGCTCCTTTCAGCATGTCTTAGGGGGTGCAGGTCAAACTCTTTCAGTTTCTGTTATACTGACAGGCCTTTATTTTTCCATAATGTGTGAATAGGAGTCTTGCAGGGTAAAATATTCTTAGCTGGCAGCTTTTATCTTTAAGCACTTTCAATGAATTATTCTATTGGTTCCTTGACCATAGTGTTTGCTCAGAGAAGTCTGATGTAAGGACAAAGGATGCCTTTATTTGTTACTTGCGTCTTCCTCATAGCAAACTTAAGTATATTTTGTCTTGAGATATTGGTAGTTTTACGACTGTGTATGTTTCTTGGTGTTGGTCTCATTGCATTTATATAATCAGGTTGTTTTAGCTTCATGGACTTGTTCCCTTTTATTCTTCTTCTGGAATTCCCATTATTATCTTTTTTTTCTTCATATTTCTTTCTCCTTCCATTGAGATTATTTGTATACTATCAACTTCACCAATTTGTTCCTCCATTTGGCTTATTCTACTTTCATCATTCTCTTCAGAATTTTTATCTTCTATATTGATCCTTTTACATTTTGAATCTCCATTATTTCCTCACTTAAAGCTTCAATTTCTATCTTCTATTAATTAATTTTATTTCTCAGAGCATTCATTTGATTTTCTGAGTTTTCTTACATGTTTCTGATCATCATTTCTATGGTTTCAGCTATATGTTTGAATTT